TGGGCGTCGCCGTGCGCTACGCGTACGGCTCGGAGCAGCTCGTCGTGCGCATCCTGCGCGCCCTCGACCTGCCCGCCAAGGACGCCAACGGCTTCTCCGACCCCTACGTCAAGATGTACCTGCTGCCCGACCGCAAGAAGAAGTTCCAGACCAAGGTGCACCGCAAGACGCTCAACCCGGTCTTCGACGAGACCTTCAGCTTCGGCGTCCCCTTCGCCGAGCTGCCCGCGCGGCGCCTCCACTTCAGCGTCTACGACTTCGACCGCTTCTCCCGGCACGACCTCATCGGCCAAGTGGTGCTGGACAATCTCCTGGAGGCGGCCGAGCGCGACGCCGAGACGCCCATCTGGAGGGACATCCTGGAGGCCACCGCGGTGAGCCCATTCCGGCCTCCATCCCATCGCCGGCTCCATCCCGGCTCCGCTTGCAGCTCCGGTTGCAATTCAGCGCGCGGCTCCGGTTGCAATTCGGATGTCGGCTCCATCATCAGCTCCATTTTTAGCTCCGGTTGCAATTCGGTTTCGACTCCATCATCAGCTCCATTTTTGACTCCGGTTCCAGTTCTGGTTGCGCGCGGCTCCGGTTGCAATTCGGATGTCAACTCCATCATCAGCTGCATTTTTAGCTCCGGTTGCAATTTGGATGGTGGCTCCATCATCAGCTCCATTTTTAGCTCTGGTTGCAATTCTGTTTCGACTCCATCATCAGCTCCATTTTTGACTCCGGTTGCTGCTCCAGGTGCAATTCTGGTTTTGGCTCCATTGCCAACCCCATTTTGACTCCATTTCGGCTCTGGTTGCATCTCCAGTTGTATCTCCAGTTGCAGTTCTGGTTTCTGCTCCGTTTTGGCTCCATTTTTTGCTCCATTTTTTGCTCCTCTTGCAGCTCGGGTTGCAATTTGGCTCGTGGCTCCGGTTGCAATTCGGATGTCGGCTCCATCATCAGCTCCATTTTTAGCTCTGGTTCCAATTCTGTTTCGGCTCCATCCAATTTTTGACTCCGGTTGCGGCTCCAGGTGCAATTCTGGTTTTGGCTCCATCACCAGCTCCATTTTTGCTCCATTTGCATCAGGTTGCAATTCTGGTTGCAGCTCCAATTGCAATTCTGGTTTTGGCTCCGTTGCCAACCCCATTTTGACTCCATTTTGGCTCTGGTTGCAGCTCCAGTTGCAGTTCTGGTTTCAGCTCCGTTTTGGCTCCATTTTTTGCTCCGCTTGCAGCTCCAGTTGCAATTCGGCGCGCGGCTCCGGTTGCAATTCGGATGTCAACTCCATCATCAGCTGCATTTTTAGCTCCGGTTGCAATTTGGATGGTGGCTCCATCATCAGCTCCATTTTTAGCTCTGGTTGCAATTCTGTTTCGACTCCATCATCAGCTCCATTTTTGACTCCGGTTGCTGCTCCAGGTGCAATTCTGGTTTTGGCTCCATTGCCAACCCCATTTTGACTCCATTTCGGCTCTGGTTGCATCTCCAGTTGTATCTCCAGTTGCAGTTCTGGTTTCTGCTCCGTTTTGGCTCCATTTTTTGCTCCATTTTTTGCTCCGCTTGCAGCTCCAGTTGCAATTCGGCGCGCGGCTCCGGTTGCAATTCGGATGTCGGCTCCATTATCAGCTCCATTTTTAGCTCTGGTTCCAATTTGGTTTTGGCTCCATCACCAGCTCCATTTTGACTCCATTTCGGCTCTGGTTGCATCTCCAGTTGCAGTTCTGGTTTCTGCTCCATTTTGGCTCCATTTTTTGCTCCATTTTTTGCTCCTCTTGCAGCTCGGGTTGCAATTTGGCTCGTGGCTCCGGTTGCAATTCGGATGTCGGCTCCATCATCAGCTCCATTTTTAGCTCTGGTTCCAATTTGGTTTTGACTCCCATCATCAGCTCAATTTTTGACTCCGGTTCCAGTTCTGGTTTCAGCTCCATTTTGGCTCCATTTTTTTGCTCCGCTTGCAGCTCTGGTTGCAATTCGGATGTCGGCTCCATCATCAGCTCCATTTTTAGCTCTGGTTGCAATTCGGTTTCAGCTCCATCATCAGCTCCATTTTTGACTCCGGTTGCTGCTCCAGGTGCAATTCTGGTTTTGGCTCCAACTCCATTTTTTGTTTCGTTTTGGCTCCACTTGCATCAGGTTGCAATTCTGGTTGCTGCTCCAGGTGCAATTCTGGTTTTGGCTCCATTGTCAACCCCATTTTGACTCCATTTCAGCTCCAGTTGCAGCTCCAGTTGCAGTTCTGGTTTCAGCTCCATTTTGGCTCCGTTTTTGCTCCATTTTTTGCTCCATTTGCAGCTCCGGTTGCTGCTCTGGTTGCAATTCCAGTTTTGGCTCCATCTTCAGCTCCATTTTTGGTTCCCTTTTGGCTCCATTTGCAGCTGCGGTTGCAATTCTGGTTTTGGCTCCATTGCCAGCTCCATTTTGACCCAATTTCAACTTCGGTTGCAGTTCTGGTTTCAACTCTGTCACCAGCTCCATTTTGGCTCCAGTTTTTGCTCCAGTTGCACCTTTGGTTGCAATTCTGGTTGCAGCTCCGGTTGCAATTTTGGTTTTGGCTCCATCACCTGCTCCTTTTTTTGGTTCCATTTTGGCTCCATTTGCTGCTCCAGTTACAGCTTTGGTTGCAATTCTGGTTTTGGCTCCATCAGCAGCTCCGTTTTTGGCTCCATTTTGGCTCCATCTGCCGCTCCAGTTGCAATTCTGGTTTTGGCTCCATTTTTGGCTCCATTTGTGGCTCCGGTTGAACCTCTCGTTGCAGTTTTGGGCTCCATCTGCTGCTCCAGTTTTCACTCCGGTTTTGGCTCCATTTGTGGCTCTGGGGGCAAATCCGATCTCGGCTCCATCATCAGCTCCCATTTCCAGCTCCATTTCGGCTCCATTTGCTGCTCCAGTTGCATTTCTGGCTATGGCTCCATTTCCAGCTCCATTTGTGGCTCCAGTTTTCACTCCGGTTGCATTTCTGGTTTTGGCCTCAATTTTGGCTCCCATTGCCCATCCGATTGCAGTTGTGATTTCACCTCTAGTTGTATTTCCGGATTTGGCTCCATTTGTGGCTCTGGTTGCAGATCCAGGGGTGATTCTGGTTTCGGCTCCATTCCGGGCTCCGTTGCTCCTCCGGTTGCAGCTCTGGTTGCAATTCTGGTTTTGGTCCCATTTGTGGCTCCGGTTTCATGTTTGTTGCTCTGTGACTTTGGTTGCAATTAAAGTTGCAGCTCCAATTGCAACTCCAATTGCACATCCGATTGCAATCCCGGTTGCAGCTCCGGTTGCAATCCCGGGTCCGGCTCCATCTGCAGCTCCACATTCGGCTCCATTTGTGGCTCCGGATTTGGCTCCGGTTGCATCTCTGGTTGCAATTCTGGTCCCATCCGCATCTCCGGTTCCGGCTCCGGTTGCAGATCCCTCTGTGGTTCCAGTTTCACTCTGGTTTTGGCTCCATTCATTGCTCCGTTTGGGGCCCCAATCATGGCTCTGGTTTCACTCTGGTTTTGCTCTGGTTTCACTCTAGTTTATCCCCGGTTTCAGTCCAGCTTCACCCCAGTTTCAGTCCAGTTTCACCCCAATTTCTCCTCAGTTTCATACCAGTTTCTCCTGGTTTCACTCCAGTTTCACACCACTTTCTTCTCAATTTCACCTGTTTTTTACCCCAGTTTCTCTCCCCTTTCTCCCCTGTTTCTCTCCCCTTTCTCCTCCATTTCAGCCCAATTTCACCCCAGTTTCACACTGGTTTCACCCCAGTTTCTCTCCCCTTTCTCCCCTGTTTCTCTCCCCTTGCTCCTCCATTTCAGCCCAATTTCACCCCAGTTTCACACTGGTTTCACCCCAGTTTCTCTCCCCTTTCTCCCCCGTTTCAGCCCAACTTCCCCCCCCCTTTCAGCCCAATTTCACCCCAGTTTCATGCCAAGTTTCTCTCAATTTCACCTGTTTTTTACCCCATTTTCTCCCCCATTTCTCCCCAGTTCTAGCCCCTTCACCCCAGTTTCATGCCAGTTTTCTCTCAATTTCACCTGTTTTTTACCCCATTTCTCCCCAGTTTTAGCCCCTTTTCCCCCCACTTCCTCACCATTTTCCCCCCACTTCCTCACCCGTTCCCACCCCACTTCCTCACCCGTTTCCACCCGTTTCTCACCCGTTTCAGCCCCATTTCTCACCGTTTCCACCCCACTTTCTCGCCCGTTTCAGCCCAATTTCACCCCAGTTTCACACTGGTTTCACCCCGGTTTCATGCCAGTTTCCTCTCAATTTCACCTGTTTTTTACCCCATTTCTCCCCAGTTTCCCCCCACTTCCTCACCATTTTCCGCCCACTTCCTCCCCCGTTTCCACCCATTTCTCACCCATTTCACCCCAATTTCTCACCGTTTCCACCCCAATTTCAGAGGCTCCGGTGGCGCTGCCCTTGGTCCCATGGGGCCAATGTCCCATGGGGGACATTGAGGGACATGGGGGACGTTGAGGGACATGGGGGATGTTGAGGGACATGGGGGACGTTGAGGGACATGGGGGACATTGAGGGGCATGGAGGACGTTGAGGGACATGGGGGACGTTGAGGGACGTGGGGGACGTTGAGGGACATGGAGGACATTGAGGGACGTGGGGGACGTTGAGGGACATGGAGGACGTTGAGGGACGCCCGGTTGGGCGGACGTGGAGGACGGTGAGGGACGGGGGGGACGTTGAGGGACGTGGGGGACATTGAGGGACGTGGGGGACGTTGAGGGACGTGGAGGACGTTGAGGGACATGGGGGACGTTGAGGGATGTGGGGGACGTTGAGGGACATGGGGGACATTGAGGGACGCCCGGTTGGGCCCCCTGGTGTCCCCTGGCCCCAGTGACGTGTCCCTGACGCCGGTGTCCCCTGTCCCCAGGAGAAGGCCGACCTGGGCGAGGTGAACTTCTCCCTGTGCTACCTGCCCACGGCTGGGCGCCTCACGGTGACCATCATCCGGGCGTCCAACCTGCGCGCCATGGACCTCACCGGCTACTCGGGTCAGTGCGGGGACATGGGGACGTGGAGGGACATGGGGGACGTTGAGGGACATGGGGGACGTTGAGGGACATGGGGGACATTGAAGGACAACAGGACATGGAGGGACACGGGGGACATAGAGGGACGTGCGGGACATGGAGGGACATGGAGGGACATGGGGGATGTTGAGGGATGTGAGAGACGTTGAGGGACATGGGGGACGTTGAGGGACATGGGGGACATTGAAGGACAACAGGACATGGAGGGACACGGGGGACATAGAGGGACGTGCGGGACATGGAGGGACATGGAGGGACATGGGGGATGTTGAGGGATGTGAGAGACGTTGAGGGACATGGGGGACGTTGAGGGACATGGGGGACATTGAAGGACAACAGGACATGGAGGGACACGGGGGACATAGAGGGACGTGCGGGACATGGAGGGACATGGAGGGACATGGGGGATGTTGAGGGATGTGAGAGACGTTGAGGGACATGGGGGACGTTGAGGGACATGGGGGACATTGAAGGACAACAGGACATGGAGGGACACGGGGGACATAGAGGGACGTGCGGGACATGGAGGGACATGGAGGGACATGGGGGATGTTGAGGGATGTGAGAGACGTTGAGGGACATGGGGGACGTTGAGGGACATGGGGGACATTGAAGGACAACAGGACATGGAGGGACACGGGGGACATAGAGGGACGTGCGGGACATGGAGGGACATGGAGGGACATGGGGGATGTTGAGGGATGTGAGAGACGTTGAGGGACATGGGGGACGTTGAGGGACATGGGGGACATTGAAGGACAACAGGACATGGATGGGTCTGTAGCTCCACGTGAGCCCCCAGGGCATCCTGTGGGGTGTCCCCAGGCTCCTGGCGCAGCACCCAATGGGATGTCCCCATGTCAGCTATGGGTGCTCACCCATCTCCAATGGGTTCCATGCACCACCCATGGGTCCCATAGCTCCACATGAACCCCCAGGGTGTCCTGTGGGGTGGCAGTTGGTTCCCCTTGGGATGTCCCCATGTCACCTATGGGTGCTCATCTATCTCTGGTGGGTTCCATGATGAAGGACAACAGGACATGGAGGGACACGGGGGACATAGAGGGACGTGAGGGACGTGCGGGACATGGAGGGACATGGAGGGACATGGAGGGACATGGGGGATGTTGAGGGACACGGGGGACATTGAGGGACATTGAGGGACGTGAGGGACATTGAGGGACATGGGGGACACTGAGGGACATTGAGGGACATGCGGGACATGTCACCATCCCATGTTCCCCATGGGTCTGTAGCTCCACGTAAGCCCCCAGGGTGTCCTGTGGGGTGGCAGTTGGTTCCCCATGGGATGTCCCCATGTCACCTATGGGTGCTCATCTATCTCTGGTGGGTTCCATGCACCACCCATGGATCCCATAGCTCCACATGAACCCCCAAGGTGTCACCTATGGGTGCTCCCCGATCTCTGGTGGGTTCCATGCACCACCCATGGGTCTGTAGCTCCACGTGACCCCCCAGGGCATCCTGTGGGGTGTCCCCTGGCTCCGTGGGGGTGTCCCCAGGCCCATGGCCCAGCACCCATGGGTGCCCCTCGCCACAGACCCCTACGTGAAGGCGTCGCTCATGGCCGAGGGCCGGCGGCTCAAGAAGCGCAAGACGTCCATCAAGAAGAACACGCTGAACCCCAGCTACAACGAGGCGCTCGTGTTCGACGTGCCGCACGCCAGCGTGCACAGCGTGAGCCTCACCATCGCCGTGCTGGACTACGACTGGTGAGAGCCGCCGCCCGGGGGTGCCCCCACCCATGGGTGTCACCGTGCGTGGTTGCCCCCCGTCCATAGGTGCCTCCACCCATGGTTGCCACCATGCATGGTTGCCCCCTGTCTATGCATGCATCCACCCATGGGTGCCACCCTGCATCGTTGCCTCCACCCATGGGTGTCACCGTGCGTGGTTGCCACCGGTCTATGGGTGCCTCCACCCATGGATGCCTGCACCCATGGATGTCTCCACCCATAGGTGCCACCATGCATGGTTGCCCCCCATCTATGCATGCCTCCTTGTCTATGGGTGCCCCCACCCATGGGTGCCACCGTGCGTGGTTGCCCCCCGTCTATGGGTGCCTCCACCCATGGATGCCACCCTGCATGGTTGCCACCGCCCATGGGTGCCCCCTGTCTATGGGTGCCTCCACCCATGGGTGCCACCGTGCGTGGTTGCCCCCCGTCTATGGGTGCCTCCACCCATGGATGCCACCCTGCATGGTTGCCACCGCCCATGGGTGCCCCCTGTCTATGGGTGCCTCCACCCATGGGTGCCACCGTGCGTGGTTGCCCCCCGTCTATGGGTGCCTCCACCCATGGATGCCACCCTGCATGGTTGCCACCGCCCATGGGTGCCCCCTGTCTATGGGTGCCTCCACCCATGGGTGCCACCGTGCGTGGTTGCCCCCCGTCTATGGGTGCCTCCACCCATGGATGCCACCCTGCATGGTTGCCACCGCCCATGGGTGCCCCCTGTCTATGGGTGCCTCCACCCATGGGTGCCACCGTGCGTGGTTGCCCCCCGTCTATGGGTGCCTCCACCCATGGATGCCACCCTGCATGGTTGCCACCGCCCATGGGTGCCCCCTGTCTATGGGTGCCTCCACCCATGGGTGCCACCATGCATGGTTGCCACCACCCGTGGGTGTCACCATGCACAGGTGCCACCGCCCATGGGTGTCCCCCGTCTATGGATGCTCCTCACTTGACAGTTCCACCACCCATGGATGCCTCTACCCATGGATGCCTCCACCCATGGGTGTCACCACGCATGGGTGCCACCGCCCATGGGTGTCCCCCGTCTATGGATGCTCCTCACTTGACAGTTCCACCACCCATGGATGCCTCTACCCATGGATGCCTCCACCCATGGGTGTCACCATGCATGGGTGCCACCGCCCATGGGTGCCCCCCGTCTATGTGTGCTCCTCACCCAACAGTTCCTCCACTCATGGGTGTCACCGTGCATGGGTGCCACCATGCATGGGTGCCACCACCCATGGGTGCCCCCCGTCTATGGGTGCTCCCTGCCCAACAGTTCCACCACCCATGGATGCCTCCACCCATGGGTGCCACCATGCATGGTTGTCCCTCGTCTATAGGTGCCTCCACCCATGGGTGCCACTGTGCGTGGTTGCCACCATGCATGGGTGCCCCCCGTCTATGGGTGCTCCCTGCCCAACAGTTCCACCACCCATGGGTGCCTCCACTCATGGATGCCACTGTTCGTGGTTGCCACCATGCATGGTTGCCCCCTGTCTATGGGTGCCTCCACCCATGGGTGCCACTGTGCGTGGTTGCCACCATGCATGGGTGCCCCCCGTCTATGGGTGCTCCCTGCCCAACAGTTCCACCACCCATGGGTGTCACCGTGCGTGGTTGCCACCCGTCTATGCATGCGTCCACCCATGGGTGCCACCATGCATGGTTGCCACCACCCATGGGTGTCACCATGCACATGTGCCACCTCCCATGGGTGCCCCCCATCTATGGGTGCTCCCCACCCAACAGTTCCACCACCCATGGATGCCTCTACCCATGGATGCCTCCACCCATGGGTGTCACCGTGCGTGGTTGCCACCCGTCTATGCATGCGTCCACCCATGGGTGCTCCCTCCCGGACGCCTGGGCCCCGGGCCGGGCTGCTGAGCGCCGCTCGCCCGCAGCATCGGCCACAACGAGGTGATCGGGATGTGCCGCGTGGGCAGCGACGCCGAGGGACCGGGCCGGGAGCACTGGGCCGAGATGTTGGCCAACCCGCGCAAGCCCATCGAGCACTGGCACACGCTGGTGGAGGTGAGCGCGCGTGTGCCCCCACGCAGGGGACACGCTGGTGACACGAGGGTGACGCGTGTGGCACGGGCACGGGGCCCTCTGCAAGTGCTGGGGTGCGTGGAATGCAAGATGTGGTGTGCCGTGCAAGCTGCGCATTGGTGTGCAAGTTGCAATGTGTGCAAGCTGTGCCGTGCAAGCTGCGCATCGGTGTGCACGCTACAATGTATGCAAGCTGTGCATTGGTGTGCAAGGTGTGCATCGGTGTGCAAGGTATGCAGTGTAAGCTGCGCATTGGTGTGCATGCTGCATCATGCTGTGCAAGCTGCGCATTGGTGTGCAAGGTGTGCAAGCTGCACAGTGGTGTGCAAGGTGTGCCGTGCAAGTTGCGCATTGGTGTGCAAGCTGCAACATGTGCAAGCTGTGCCGTGAAAGCTGCGCATCAGTGTGCAAGGTGTGCATGCTGCAATGTGTGCAAGCTGCGCATTGGTGTGCAAGGTGTGCAAGCTGCACATAGGTGTGCTGTGCTTTGGTGTGCAAGCTGTGCATTGGTGTGCAAGGTGTGCAAGCTGCACATTGGTGTGCAACGTGTGCCATGCAAGCTTTGCATTGGTGTGCAAGGTGTGCAAGCTGCACCGAGGTGTGCAAGCTGCATTGTGGCATGCAAACTGCAGCAGGGTGTGCAAGCTGCACTGTGGCGTGCAAGCTGCACTGTAGTGTGCAAGCTGGATTGTGGTGTGCAAGCTGCAGCAGGGTATGCAAGATGGGCTGTGCAAGCTGCACTGTGGCGTGCAAGCTGCACTGTAGTGTGCAAACTGCATTGTGGTGTGCAAGCTGCGCTGTGCACGCTGCACCGTGGTGTGCAAGCTGCATTGTGGTGTGCAAGCTGCATGGTGGTGTGCAAACTGCATTGTGGTGTGCAAGCTGCGCTGTGCACGCTGCACCGTGGTGTGCAAGCTGCATTGTGGTGTGCAAGCTGCATGGTGGTGTGCAAACTGCATTGTGGTGTGCAAGCTGCGCTGTGCACGCTGCACCGTGGTGTGCAAGCTGCATTGTGGTGTGCAAGCTGCAGCAGGGTGTGCAAGCTGTGCCATGCAAGCTGCACCGTGGTGTGCAAGCTGCAGCACAGTGTTCAAGCTGCACCGTGGTGTGCAAGCTGCACCATGGTGTGCAAGCTGCATTGTGGTATGCAAGCTGCAGCAGGGTGTGCAAGCTGCATTGTGGTGTGCAAGCTGCACCGTGGTGTGCAAGCTGAGCCACGTGTGTGTGCAAGGCGGGTGTGCAAGGGGGGGTGCAAGGGAGCCCCGTGCGAGTGTGCGACGCCGCAGGAGAAGGCCCTGGGCAACCTCGTGTCCAAGAAGGCGGCCGTGATGGAGCCGGGTTGCGAGTGATGGTGAGAGCCGGGAAATGGGAAGGACTGGGAGAAACTGGAGGGAATGGGAGAAACTGGGGGGCCCTGGGGGATCTGGGAGGGATTGGGAGATGCTGGGGGTGGAACTGGGAGTGGGGGGGAGTTGGGGGAAATGGGGAGGTCTGGAAGGGATTGGGGAGGACTGGGAGAAACGGGGGGCACTGGGGGATCTGGGAGGGATTGGGAGGAAGTGGGAGAAACTGGGGGCACTGGGAGATCTGGGAGGGATTGGGAAGGACTGGGAGATGCTGGGGGTGGAACTGGGGGGATTGGGAGGGACTGGGAGATACTGGGAGGAACTGGGGAGGCACTGGGGGATATGGGAGGGATTGGGAGGAATTGGGAGATGCTGGGGGGGAACTAGGGGAATTGGGAGGAACTGGGAGAGACTGGAAGAAACTGGGAGCACTGGGAGAAACTGGGAGGCACTGGGGGATCTGGGAGGGATTGGGAGGGACTAGGAGAAACTGGGAGGGACTGGGAGATACTGGGAGAAACTGGGGGATCTGGGAGGGATTGGGAGGAACTGGGAGAAACTGGGAGGGACTGGGAGATACTGGGAGGGTTTGGGAAGAACTGGGAGATGCTGGGGGGGACTAGGGGGATTGGGAGGGATTGGGAGAAACTGGGAGGGACTGGGAGATACTGGGAGAAACTGGGGGATCTGGGAGGGATTGGGAGGAACTGGGAGAAACTGGGAGGGACTGGGAGATACTGGGAGGGTTTGGGAAGAACTGGGAGATGCTGGGGGGGACTAGGGGGATTGGGAGGGATTGGGAGAAACGGGGAGGGACTGGGAGATACTGGGAGAAACTGGGGG